TCGGCTCAGGTCATGATCCTGGAGTCCCGGGATGGAGTCCCGCATCGGGCTCCCTGCTCAGCGGGGAGTCTGCTTCTCCCTCTGACCCTCCCCCCTCTCGTGCTGTCTCTCTCAAATAAATAAATAAAATCTTTAAAAAAAAAAAGAATTGCTAAAAATAAATAAATAAATAAAAATTTATAGACCATTTCCACCACACTGACATGCTACCTTCCTCGGTCCTTACTCTTTGGATAGTGTAAATTTTTGCCTTTTAAGGTCATCCTTAATTTCTCCATGAAAGTTTTCAGTCCTTTTGTACTCCTGGATCCAGAAGTCCTATAGTGATGCTATTTTTGCTCTCATGAATGACATCCAGAGCACTGTTCATGCATTTGTTAGGTGGATATCTGACAAGTCTCTTTGGAGAGTGAGAGGAATTTAACCTTTGAAAAAACAGTAACAACAAAAAGGTAATAAAAGGAAAGAGGAATGTTTCCATGCCAGTTCTCAGCAACGCTTTTGCTTTGGAAAAGAAGAAATACAGAGCTGTAAGAAACCATCTGAAGTGTTACTGCTTAGTCATTTGACCTTTGATAACCTTACACATAAAAGAACCTGTCCCCACAGTGCGGACTGGAGGGGGAGGAGGAAGCTGATTTTGTGCGTTGTCTGTATTGTTATTTTAAGTATATGCATATTTTTATTTTCCCAATATCCTTATAATGATGAGCTTACTAAACATTGCTGGTGACAGACATTCGTGTCAGGGCGAAGCCATAGTTCGAAGTAACAGGTGCCAGTCGGGTGTGCCGTTGCTTCTGAGTGATGGTGGGGAACTCTTCGGAGAACAGGGGCTCCCCAGTCACACAGGGCCTGCCCCGCGCACACGTGGCTGTTCCTCAGTAAGCACTTCGAGCTGGAAGGGCTTCTGTGGCTGATACAACGGGGAGAGAGGGCCGCGGCCTGTAATCCAGGTTAGGAAAGCAGTATTTTGACAAGTTGCCCTCTAGGAGAAAACCCCTTCTTTCAGGTTGTGTGTGAAACTCAGCTACTGAAGCAGACAGGGCCCTGATTCCCCCATCTCCTCTCCCCTGGAGTCGCTTTCATTCTCTCTCGGCGCTGCAGCGTAGTCAGCGGGACTCACCAAGGGCTGTTCCTTTAAATACAACAGAAGAAACCCCAAACAAAAATCAAGTCCTCTCAGAGTGACCAAGTACGGCTCCGTGTGGCTCCCCTCCAGTTTCCTTGGGGAAATGGACTCCAGGTATTTAGAAAATAACACCCATGGAAGCAAAGAAAGCTGATGCTTGAGAGACCCTGATAAGGGAGCGTTGACAGAGCTTAACAAACCAGCTCTTGTGTTTGTAACGTGTGACCTCCAGCGGGCAGAGGCAGCATGTTTGCGGAGTGGCGGGGTTCGGGGTGCCGTCCCACAGCTTGTGTGGTCATCGGCGGCGCCCTCTGGCACTCCTCCTTGGCTGACCCTAGGGAGAGCGGCTGAGGAAGAGTAGCATTAAAGGTGCACCTTTTATGGTACATAATTTATGATGCTCCTAATTGTCGCTACAAATTACATTCCCGAAGAGCAGTTTAGCAGCCGGCTGCTCGCTGTCCGAAGGCTTGCAGTTCCCCTGCCTTGGCTCAGCGGGTCTTCTCATCAGCCGCAGGAGGCCAAGCCCTGTACCTGAAGGGAAAGGTAACTTTTTAAAAAGATGGAATATAGGTGAAGACGTTCACTTCCTGTATGCTGATGTCCTCCTTTCCATCTCATATTCAGATCCAGCTCTATTTCGCTTGCTTACCAGAGGAAAAGGTTCCTTATGTTAACAGCCCTGGAGAGAAACATCGAATTAAACAGCTTTTGTACCAGTTGCCACCACATGATAATGAGGTAAAATAACAGGAAGAAGGCTAATTAAAAAAAAGAAAATACACCCTAAACATTGAGATGCCTCTTGTAAACCTTACCTCTTCATTGGCTAGGGCTCTTTGGCCTTTCTTCAGTTAAAATTTGGCTTGAGGCTACAGCTTTCCATTCTTTAAGAGAGCAAAGGGGGTCCGTGTAATAAACTTAACAACAAGTTGGTTTTTATAGTGTTTGCAGCCACCCACCACTTATCAGGAGCCTACCAACTCTTGAGATTTCCCTGCCCCTTCATCCAGAGTCCTTGCTTTCTGATAGTTCAGGCCTGCAGTCAGGTGCCTGTAGAATGTAGAGTGAGTGTGCCAAGTAACAAGTTTCAACCTTCTGTAGGAAGGTTAATGTCTTTCTTTTTTTTTTTTAGCGTCTCTCATAAAAGTTTGAACATGCCCTATTTTTTAAAAAAGATAGTTCCTTCAAATTGCATTTCCCTTTTGCTAGAGTGGCTGCAAGGTTGGGTGTCATTTGAAAGGTGTATAGTGCCATTTGTAAATTGGGGATTCCCGGGACAGGGCAGTTAAACTTGCTCTTTCCTGAAACTCGAACTCTGGAAATGAAGAAGTGGTGAGGGAGACTGTGCGCTCCAGTGTGGTGCGTCTGTTTGCCTGTCTCTGAAGGTGCGATACTGCCAGTCTCTGAGCGAAGAGGAGAAGAAAGAACTGCAGGTGTTCAGTGCCCAGCGGAAGAAAGAAGCCCTTGGAAGAGGAGCAATCAAGCTTTTGTCCCGAGCAGTGATGCATGCCGTGTGCGAGCAGGTAGCCCTTCCCGGGCTGAGTAGCTCGTGGTAGTGATGGGGACGGAGTGAGCTTGGGGGTAGGTGACAGGCTAGCACAGGCATGGGCCCCAAAAACCTCCCCCAAATAAAAGGCAGCCTAGCTTTTTAGTAAGGGGGTATTCACGTTTATGTGTCTATATGACGGGGGGCGTCCGGCTGCCCTTAGGTAAACGTTGGGTGCAATGCTGCCTTTTCTAGGGTCTTGGCGTGGAGGGAGGTGCAGGGGTACACCTAGTGTTCAAAACTGCAGAAACAGAACGAAGACATTCCGATCTGTACTGGCTCAGAGCAGGAAATGTATCCAATAGGAGGCTGGCTCAGGAAAAGGACTCTTCGGGGGAGTTGGGTGAAACCATTCTTCGAAACAGTCTAGCAGCGTGGCAGTGTATCTGAGGCATGTTCATTCCGGTTAAGAATCAGAAATAATCCAGCATTAAAGAGCTATTTAATCACTAACAGGAGGGGGCAAAAATAAAAGCTTTCTTGACAAAATGGGATTTGGTATAAAGTGGGAAAGGCTGAGAATCCAGTCGTCAAAGAAGGATCATCCCAATTTCAAATCCTTTTGTTTTTAGTGTGGGTTGAAGATAAATGGAGGTGAAATTGCAGTGTTTGCCTCCCGCGCGGGCCCTGGAGTGTGTTGGCACCCTTCCTGTTTTGTCTGCTTCACCTGTAACGAGCTGCTGGTCGACCTCATCTATTTTTACCAGGATGGAAAAATTCACTGTGGCAGGCACCACGCTGAACTGCTCAAACCACGGTGTTCAGCATGTGATGAGGTAAAAAAATTTATCCCTTAACACTGGGAAAAATAAGCTTCTAGTCAGCCAATATTCCACTGTTCACATCTAAGCAAAATAAAGTATCTACTGCTTTTTCTGTTTAAGATAACCCTATATATTCATATAGCGGAATAATATGTAGCTAATAAAGAGAAGGCAGCAGGTGTCTTTGTGCATTGATAAGTAGGATGTCCTTGATGGATTTTGAGAAGGGAAAAAAACAAGTTGCAAGTCAAGTATGTGGTAGATAATCTTTTTGTTACATAAAGGGAGAATAAGTCAAGGTTCTATACATTTCTGTGTACACACAGAAATAGTATGGAAAGACATACAGAGTTAACAGTGGTTACCCTTGGGGCATGTGGGGAAGGGGTGGTGGTGTGAAAGGAATTTTTTTTTAAGCCTTTTATTTTAAAGTAATTTTAGATTTACGGAAGAGTTGGAGAGATGACAGAGTTCTGTAGACCCTCCCTTCAGCTTCCCCTCCTGTTAACATCTTACATAGCGATGGTGCATGCATCAAAACTAAGAAATTAACATTGGCCTAATACTATTAACTAAATTACAGACTTTATTTAGATTTCCAGTTTTTCTGCTAATGTCTCTTTTCTAGTCCAAGATCCAATCCAGGGTACCTCATTGCATTTATTCTTTATATCCCCTCAGTCTCCTTTAATCAGTGACAGTAAACTTTCAGTGTTTACCTGTATACATTTATTTTTTTAAGTTTTTTTGTTTTTCAGTAATGTGCTATTTGAAAATTTTTTGAGTGGTGCCTGGGTGGCTCAGTTAAGCATCTGACTCTTGGTTTCAGCTCAGGTCATGATGGTCAGGGTCATGAGATCGATCCCTGCATCGGGCTCCCTGTGGAGCCTGCTTAAGGCTCTCTCGGGACGCTTGTGTGGCTCAGTCGTTAAGCGTCTGCCTTCGGCTTGGGTCATGATCCCAGGGTCCTGGGATTGAGTCCCACATGGGGCTCCTTGCTCAGCGGGGAGCCTGCCACTCCCCCTGCTTGTGCTCTCCCTCTTTCTGACATAATAAATAAATAAAATAAAAACTCTCTCCCTCTCCCTGTCTCCCCCCCCATGCTTGTGTTCTCTCTCAAATCTTAAATTTTTTTTGAAACCAAGGATTATAAAAAATAGTCTTTAATCTGGAGATGTCCACCGGGTCAAATGAAGCATTATCTACAAGTGCTGTTCACACAGTGCAGCATCTGGATAGCTGTAACTGGTGATTCTGCAGACTTTTTAAATGAGCTTTCTCTTAAAACACAGACCACTAAATTATTTCAATGTTAATGTATTCTTTGCCAGATTATGCCAACGAAGTGTGGTTGGGGAGCAAAAATATGACCAAATGAATTCTCTCCAGTGTAGAAATCTGTGTGTGTTTGTTTTTTTAAAGTTTAAGCAGGCACTAAGTTTCTCTTTTTCAACATTTTCAATTTCTGCTCTTGCTTTGTATCTAAATCGAGTTAGATTTAAGCTTGAGGCTGTAAGAAACAAGGTTAGCTAAGTGGTTTTTTGAAGAGCCACGGTCTGTCAGTTGCCCAGAAAACCTGCAGTTACTTGGTTTTTAGAATAGCTAGCTAAGATCTTCTTTCATCCTGTTTCTTTTTAAAGATCATTTTTGCTGATGAGTGCACAGAAGCCGAGGGTCGCCACTGGCACATGAAGCACTTCTGCTGCCTTGAGTGTGAGACGGCCCTGGGAGGACAGAGGTACATCATGAAGGATGGCCGCCCGTTCTGCTGCGGCTGTTTTGAGTCTCTGTACGCGGAGTACTGTGAAGCCTGTGGGGAGCATATCGGTGAGTCTACGGCCAGCCTGTCTGCTCTGTCACATGCCCAACAGTCTGTCTACGAACGGCTAGTTTTTTTTTTTTTTTCCTGTAACTTAACATACAGTGAAATGTACAGATCTTAAATGTTTTTCTGTGCTGTGCTTTGACAGATGAATAGTCAGTTCTCATTATTTCTAATAGTTGTGTTCTATAAGGTTGCCTGAATTATTGAGTACGGAACCACTGCTCCTGGGGGAAATACAGGGTTGGATTCCTCCAAGCCTCTGGTCACATTTTCATCAGCTGATCAACCCATAATCTTGTTTCCTGTATGTTTTTGTTTGAAGGCATGTTATTTAACATATAATGAATCATTAATACTGAACTAGCCAACAGCACTATAGCCCATGCCTGAATGAAGCTTCTCTAGGACATATATTCTCTGGAAGGCACAGCCCAGCCTTCTTGGGCTTAGGAATACTATACAGCACTTCAGCACTATACTTTGGAACCATTTTAAACAGCAGAATTAACAAAAAGCACAAAAATGAAGAAAACATGATAGTAGAAAATAGAAGAAAGAGAAAACAGACCCAGGCTATGTCAGTTGTTTAAAGAGCTGAGACAAAAGACAAGACATTGCTTTGTTTGAGCTAAGCTTCTTGAGAACGTGCAGATCAGCTGGCTCAAATTTTTCGTCATTCTGCACGTGCCTGAAAATTCCTTGGAAGCTCTGCAAGTGTTGATTTTGGGGTTTCAAATAAATTTTGGCAAATAGGCAAATCCAAAAATACGGAATTTGCAAATAATGGGAATTAACTGTACCTGTGTGACCCACAACCCTTTCAGGATACAGAACATTTCCATCACCCTCAGAGTTCCCTCATACAAATAGGCTCGTCCGTTTTTTCTTCCTTTATTTCAAGACCGAACTGTAACCTCCTCCTCTGTCCTTTTCCAAAACAGGGGTTGACCACGCCCAGATGACGTACGATGGGCAGCACTGGCATGCCACAGAAGCCTGCTTTTCTTGTGCCCAGTGTAAAGCTTCTTTGTTGGGCTGTCCTTTCCTTCCCAAACAAGGCCAGATTTATTGCTCAAAAACATGCAGCCTTGGGGAAGACGTCCATGCCTCTGATTCTTCTGACTCTGCGTTTCAGTCCGCCCGATCCAGAGACTCCAGAAGAAGTGTCCGGATGGGCAAAAGCAGTCGGTCAGCCGATCAGTGTAGACAGTCTCTTCTCTTGTCTCCTGCTCTGAACTACAAGTTTCCTGGCCTGTCAGGCAATGCTGATGACACCCTTTCTCGGAAGTTGGATGAGCTGAGTCTCTCTAGGCAGGGAGCAAGTTTTGTCAATGAAGAATTTTGGAAAGGCAGAGTGGAGCACGAAACCCCAGAAGAGCCTGAAGAATGGGCCGAGCATGAAGATTATATGACACAGCTCCTCCTCAAGTTTGGTGATAAAAGCCTCTTTCAGCAGCAGCCCAATGAGATAGATATTCGAGCCAGTGAGCATTGGATATCTGATAACATGGTTAAAAATAAGACCGAGTTAAAGCAAAATAACCAGAGCCTTGCAAGTAAAAAATACCAATCTGATATGTATTGGGCACAGTCCCAAGATGGACTGGGTGATTCTGCTTATGGCAGCCACCCAGGCCCTGCAAGCAGTAGAAGGCTCCAGGAGTTAGATCTGGACCACGGGGCTGCAGGATATAACCATGATCAAACACAGTGGTATGAAGATTCCCTGGAGTGTTTGTCAGACTTGAAACCAGAGCAAAGTGTTCGAGATTCTATGGATTCTTTGGCTTTATCTAATATCACAGGTACGTAATCTAGGGATTATGGGGTATTTAGAAAAAAGAGCCACTAAAAAATTTATTTGACAAACTAGGTTCAGCAGTAGGGGCTACGTTACTTAAAACTGCAGATCAAGGGAAGGAAGGAGTTTACATTAAATGCCAAACACTAATAAACGTGTGCATACATGTGTGCATCTATATACATTTTAATATAAGCTTTTTGAGTAGGCATTATCCGCATTTGAAACAGGAGGAAATGGATTTATTTGGATAATGGAGTCTGCATCTTGTCTGAAAGATCCTGTACTCTTTGGATTGTGCTGTATGAATTTCAAGATACTAAAATCAGCCTGTGTTTTTTTTACCCAGATTATAAAATTTCACTTTGTTTCCAAAGCATATTCATATCAGCTATCTACATTTTATCCATAAAATGATCCTGAGCTGTAGAGAGTGGATATTACTTACTGTGTTTTACAGTTATCAAGAGGCTAAGTGCCTAACCTGACATACTTTTTAAAAAATTTTTATTATGTCAATCACCATACATCATTAGTTTGTGATGTAGTGTTCCACGATTCATTGTTTGCGTATAACACCCAGTGCTCCATGCAGTACGTGCCCTCCTTAATACCCATCACCAGGCTAACCCATC